GAAATCACAGCGTTAAGTCCTCTGCCTTCGGTTTGTGGGGCTGCTGACTTTACTCTTCCAGATGTTCTTCATGCCCGACACGGCACTTCTTCCAAGCGCTATTATGCCTTTGGAACTCAGGGCCTGCGGTCGCCTGACCTCGGTCGACTGGGAAGACGATAGAATGATAGAGTAACAGAGTGGGAAGGGACCTTGGAGGTCTTCTAGTCCAACCCCTTGCTGCTTAGGCAGGAAACCCTATTAAGAGCCACGGTGGCGCAGAGGTTAGAGTGCAGTATTGCAGGCTACTTCTGCTGACTGCTAGCTGTTTGGCAGTTCCAATCTCACCAGGCTCAAAGTTGACTCAGCTTCCCATCCTTCCGAGGTCAGTAAAATGAGGACCCAGATTGTTGGGGGCAAGAGGCTGACTCTGCAAAAACCACTTAGAGAGGGCTGTAAAGCACTGCGAAGCAGTACGTAAGTGCTATTTCTATACCACTTCAGACAAACGGTTGTCCAATCTCTTCTTAAGAAACATCCAGCATTGGAGCATTCACAACTTCTGGGAGGCAACGTCTGTTCCACTGATTAAATTTTGTCACCAAGAGGAAATTCCTCCTTAGTTCTAGGTTGCTTCTCTCCGTGATTAGTTTCCACCCATTGCTTCTTGTCCTGCGCTCAGGTGCTTTGGAGAATAGCTTGACTCCCTCTTCTTTGGGGCAGCCCCTGAGATAGTAGAAGACTGCTTTTATGTCACCCCATAGTCCTTCTTTTAAAGATGAATTCCTTTACCGTTTCAACGGTCTCATTGCGGTAAAAAAAAATAAAAAGAGCGTTCGAAAGAGATTGCAAGCTGCGAGTTCTCACATTCAGCACGAGGGTTTAAAAGGGCTGAAGGTCGCACCTCCAGTACGCGCCTGATCTAGAGATCCCATTTGAGGAGCCACCGTGTGGAAGTTCAAAGAATGAACCTGAGCAAAGAGCTGGTCCAACTTCAAGACAAGCGCACAGTCTTCAACATGCCTTGTAGATGGGCCAGGATCAATCCGAGCCTTGACGAAAGCTACGTAGGGAGCATTTAGACGAGGGTCAGATAACGGAATGGGGTGGAACTGGCTTCTCAAGATCTACTAGCTAGGACAGCGCAAGAGGACTTGAAAACAGGCAGACTTCGACTCCCAGAATTCCACATCGGTGACAGCACCCCTGGATGATGAACTTACAAGTCAGAGCAAGAATCGGTGATCTCCCCGCAGCCTTGGTGTTTAGGAAGCCCCCAAACAGGGAGCCGCAACAGATGACCTCCTAAACACTAACTCCTATTCCGCCGTATAAGGCGACTGGATGTATAAGACGACCGCCTACTTTCAAGCGCCCGTGAGCCGGCTGA